GTCTCTGCTCGGCCACGAGGACTCACCACCACGAACAGCCCACCAACACACCCCACCAACGTCAACGAGCGCCCACCCCCACGAGCGCCCACCGACGAAAACGAGCGCCCACCAACGTCAACGACGTCACACCAACGACGACCAGCGCCCACGAAAACGACCGCCCACGGACGTCCAGCGACCGCAAACGACGTCCCCGCCCACGAAAACGATGTCCACCGCCCATGAACGACGCCCACCGCCAACGATGTCAACCGCCCATGAACAACGGCCACCACCAACGACGTCCAACGCCCACCGCCCACCAACGACGTCCCCCGCCCACGAAGACGACGTCCGCCGCCCACCGCCCACGAAACAACGTCCGCCGCCTACCGAAAACATCCGCCACCCACCGAAAACGTCCACCGCCCACGAAACAACGTCCCCCGCCCACCGAAAATGTCCGCCGCCCATCCACGAACACAGTGACGAGCCCAGGTGAGCCCCCCCTCCCTCCATCATTATTCCACATCACACCCTCCCCCATTGCTCCCCCTCTAATTGCTGCCCCCCTCTCCACCTTTCCTTCCCCCTCCATAACTCCCCACCTCCATCACTCTCCACCCCTCCCCTCCCTCCTCATTCTGCACAACTCCCTCTCTCCACAACTCCCACTCCCCTCCATCACTTCCCCCTCCCTTGATCACTCTATATCTATACCTCTCCCTCCCCCTCTCTTTAATATTATATGTAGTAAAATAAAATTATGTAGTCTGTTTCAATACACCTTAGTTTTCTTCATTTATTAGTGTTTAAGTTGGAACTTTGCAGATTAAGTCTGGACTTGTGATTCTATGATAATAATTGTGGAATTGGGACTTATTCCATCTGAATTCCATATGGAAAAAGTATGGATTCCATCTAAGAAAGTATGGAGTCCATCAGCTATTCCATGGATTCCATCTGAAAGAAGTATGGAGTCCATCAGCTATTCCATGGAATCCATCTCCAGAAAGTATGGAGTCCATCAGCCATTCCATGGAATCCATCCCCAGAAAGTATGGAGTCCATCTGCCATTCCATGGAATCCATCTGGAATTCCTGGAATCCACCCCCCTTCCATGCATTCCATATGGATTAAGCCGGGGAGGGTAAAGTACAGCATCACAGCTAAGTGGACCCCCAGGCCAGTTTGCTGGAACCATTTCAATTGTGGAGCCTAGACATGAATCGTCTGCCTGCCCCTCCGCGCTCACTAATGTTAGTGAAGTTTGACCAATAGGCCGTTGGAGGGCTGCGCTAGGGCTCAGCAATTTTTCGCATTCGGGGTCCCGAAGGGTTGTAGGCTGAATAGGCTCAGGCGGAGTGAAAGGGGCTATGTCAAGAGACCCATTGAACATAGCAGGATCAGAGGGGGTGGCAAGGCGAGATGATTTGAAGGAGGAATAAGCGAGTATCGAGATGGGCACGAGCAAAGCCATTGCGAGGCGAATTGCAGTTGATGCTGTGTCCGATGAGTGTGTAGTTGGTTCTTCGACTGTTGCGGTGTGATTTGCAAGTAATATCACCGTCATCGTGGTGGTTATAGTGGTCGTGGTATATGAAACAGTACTGATTGTCGTCTGCACCGCGGATGCCGGTGGTGGGGTAGTCGTAAGCTCCCTACTATCCCGCTCGAGATTGACTTTGTTGGACAGCCGAGAGCCTGCATGATGAGCTTGCAATACATCGTGCCAGATGAAGAGCATTGAGGCTAGTGCTGCTAGCGATAATAGTATAATTGTCGATGTGCTGGACTGCGCGGCATCAACAAGAAAGAGTGCAAACACAAGTATTCTAACAAACCTGTTTCGGCACACGTTGGGAAGAACGGTTACGTTTGAGGTTTACTTCAGATGAAGCCTACATCATCATTGAATTGGAGAGTTCAAATAATTTTCGGCAAATGCACTTCTCTGTGGGCCTGGATGATCAATGTGCAGGTTAGAATCGCAAATCATTGGTAGCATAGACACCATTGTACCATACCTTCATAAAGGTGGACGGCGCTTGACTGATTTCAAGATTTATTCTCTGTGTGCAAAATGAGAAAAGTCATGAGCAGAAGGGGAGGTTGATTATATCACATCGTCGACCCATGGTTTGGATACGTCCGGGAAAGTAACAAAAGCAGCGACAAAGGTGGTATCTCTGCCCTCTCCCAGGAGGTCTTATCAGTGCCCCCCTAATTCCTGCAGGATTCCGGTCATTCCTGCGGATTCCGGTGGATTCCGGAGGAGTGAAATTTAGCAGGGAGGCCTGCTATTTTCATCATTCCGGTGCTTTACCATTCCGGCGGAATTTCGGCATTCCGGAATTGTGACCGGAATGGTCCCCGGATTGGCAAAAACGGAATGCAACTGGAATCCGGTTTGTTTGGCACATGCCCATTGCCAAACAATTGTTTGTTTGGCAACGGCTTTCACGCTCATCCAAACACAACCCTCTCTCCTCCCACCACCACCGTCGTCGCTCCACGTAACCGCCCCCCTCACGTTGTGAGTGCCCGCCATGGGCTAAGCGACGTGAGGGGGCTCACATCGACCACCACGCCGCTCACCCGAGATCCAGCAACGTCGCCAACACTACAACGCTGTGCCACGTCACCACGGCACACAAACCAGGTAAGCACCCACAACCCCGTCTCCTCCCTCGTTTCTCAACACG